TTAAAACCCAAAAGCCGTTTTGTCGTCGTCGTTGTTTTAAGCCGCAAACCTCACGCTTGTCTTTCTAGCGCGCTTCCCACCCGCTCCCACTCCATGAACGAGAGGTAAGAGGAGAAATTTCCACCGAGGGCACGGCGCTGTACGCCCGTCCGAGCCTCGACGGCCTCGACGTGAGCCTTCACCGGCAGCACCCGCAGCCCTTGCCCAGGAGGGACACTGCGGGGATGAGTGCGGGCCGCGGGACCCACGCGAGACCCACGTTGTCCTCGCTCCTCTCCCAACAGCCTCTGTTCATCCGGGGGCCGAGTCCTGCCCTCCCGGCACCCCCGGATTTTCCCACCCCGACGCCTCGGGAACCCGCCCCGGGGAGCATGCGGGCAGCAGCCAGCTCCCCCCGGCCGGGAGCCCCTTTGAAGAGTCGTCCCCCCCACCTCAGCTCCCCTCGCCGCTTTTATGCTTTAACTTTTCACCCTGAGCGGGGACAATGCCAGAAAACGTTTGCATATTTGCATCTTTTCCCATGGCACAGCGAGGAAACCTTTCACCCGCCGAGAGAGTTGGATGCGGACGGCAGCGTTTCCCAGTTTTCCCAGCTCAGCCCCGGCCCACTTCGATGACTCTCCCGGGCGCTACGGTGCCGTCAGGGGGAAGCGGTCCTACCAGAGGTGGCCCACGGACCCCACACGCACGTCCGTGGCCTCCGTGTATCTCTCTTTCCTCTGGGTACGTGACCGTTTTGCAGCGTTCCTCCCGTTTCGACGGGCGGTTCTCATAAGTCCCTCAAAATTATCTTCTTATCCCTCTTCCGACGGCAGCTCCTGTGTCGAGAACGGGGCTGCCCCAGAGCTACGGGAATAACTCTGCGACGCCTCCCGAAGTGTCCCCCGACGTCCCCTGTCCCTGCCCGCGGACATCGGGGCTCTCGGGGAAGGACAGAACCCCGCTCCCGGCCCATCTCCGTTGGGACGCTTTCGCTGTGTGCGTCGTTCAGTGCCAGCACAGCAAACCCCATTGCCCACGCGATCTCATGGCCGCGGTTGCGACCGTGCAATAACAACAGCACACCGGGACGAGGGGTGCCGGGCGGCCGCCTCCTCCCTGTGGGATTTCTCTATCCCCTCGTGCGGTGTTGCCCCGGAGAAGCAGTGCCGCGTCCCCCCGCGGTGTCACGGCCGGGCTGCGCCGACAGAGTTTGATGGTGCCATAAACGAGGAAGGGGCCACTAAAACGACACAACTCGGAACACAGAGCATCAAAACGCACCGAAGTCCGCACAGACCCTCAGCCCGGCGGGACGCGGCGCTCTCCGGCCGGGTCGGATTGAAGGTGCCCCTCCCGATCCCGGGCTCTATGCGGGATCTCCGCCCGATTCGGGTCAGGGTGCCTTCCCCTGTCCCACTGCGTTCTGATCCAGGAAGGAGCTTTGTGTCCCCCCTACAAACCAATTGAGGCCTCTTTGTTTCCCACGCGGTTTTCCCGTCTTCTCTCTCCTCGAGGTTCTGGGGAGGGTGCGTGGGGCACGGCCAAGGCAGCAGCTTTGGGTGGCGGGTGGGGGGGTTCCTTCCTTTCGTTTCTTTCATTATAAAAGTATGATTATTATTTTGTTTATCTTTTTATTTCCCTAGATCCTGAACGAGGAAAAGCGACTTTAAGGTGACAAGTGCCAAACCACGGCCGTTGGGAGCGAAATATCACCTGGGGATTTGGGGTTTTGTTTATATTACATTTTATATTTTATATTTTATATTTTATATTTTATATTTTATATTTTATATTTTATATTTTATATTTTATATTTTATATTTTATATTTTATATTTTATATTTTATATTTTATTTTGTTTTGTTTTGTTTTGTTTATGTTGACCCCGTGTTTCCCTGCAGGGCCGTTTGCTTCTCCCCTCTTTCTCTACATGCAGATCCCCTCTTTCCCCGCTCGGTTCCACCGGCGGCTCTGCCTCAGCCGCATCGGTGGCTGCGGTCCCTTCGGGCTGCGGCGCTTTGCAGCGCCCGCTCCTTTCTACCAGCCCTGGCGCTGCTTGGAGCAGAACATCACCAGTTCCGAGGGAATCCGCCTGAGCACTGTCAGACAGAAACGCCGCCGGCGGTGACTCCCCACGTCTCTCCCGCTGCCTTCTGGAACGGGGTCTCCTTCGGGGCGCGACCCTGGAGCCGGATCCCGGGACAGCGCGGCACGGGGACCCCGTCCGAGCCGCCCGTAGGAGCCCCGGGAAAGGCCGAGCGCGGCCACCGCCTTCGAGGGACAGCGGGCGCCTTCTTGTTGGGCTCCGACTGCGTTCAGGTTTTCACGGAGCGATTTTTCTGTCTCCCGAGAGAAGATCAGGGTGAAGTGGGTGGATCTTCCCATCTCCCCCACCGTAACGGCGCGGCACCGGGAGCTTTGTTTGCGAGGGAGAAGAAAAAAAAACCTTCTTGAAAGCCCTTTGGTGGCCGAGGAGAGGGAAGGAGGAACCGAGGGTTGGTGTGTCCGAGCTGTGGAATTTATGGCTCCCCCTAAGCACAGACATGATAAGGACTTAGAAAACATCTTGGATCTTTTCAAGCCGGCAGCCCCCGAGGCTTTGATGTAGATTACGTTGCAGAATAACCCAATACTTTTATCGTGGGGTTGATACCCGGCTTGTTTAAGCACATGCCTGCAGGAGCGGGCTGGATGCAGAACGCTGCTCCGAGTGGAGCCGCTGCTGGAAAGGAGTGGGGCCGGGGGAGGGGGCACGGAACAGTAGGATTCAGCTCGGCACGGCTCTGCCCCTCGGACAGGTGCCGTCGGGCCTGAGCTTAGATGGCTGCTGTCATCCCCAGACAAGAAAACACTGCTCACAGAGTGGCCACCACTGCCCACATTCATATTGAGCCCCGAGGAAGGTGCCCAATAGTGGCTGCAGTATGATCAGCACGTCTGCCAGCAGTGAGCCCTGTGGCTATCCCTGGTCCTCGGGCCAATGGCCCCTTCATCCTCATAACCATCTAATTCCCTACATCTTGCTTTGAGATGTGCTCTTTGTGAGGCAGCCCAAGGTCGTGCCTCCCACTGTGTGCTGCCCATCTCTCCCCCCTAGGGCCCCATCTCCTCACCCCACAGCAGCCCTGTGCTGCAGGGCTGTACACTCAGCACAGGCATTGTGGGGACACTTTGTTGTTTGCAAGGTCAAAGGTTTCAGAGGCGTTGACTGCACACCTCCTTGCAGGGCCCTGGAGCTCTGGGGGTGATGTTTCATGCAGGTGGCATGAAACTCTGAGGGGGTGGATGGGGCTCCCACATGCATTGCACAGTTCAGGGGGGTTCCCCCAACCACTGCCTCAAAAGCCTTCCCCAGGACTAGAGGTTCCCATTCCCCCACCCCACTGCTCGCTATGAGAACTGGGGCTATAAAGAAGGGAGGAGACAGCGCTTCTGCCAGGGACAAACCCATTCCCTCCAAAGCAAACAAAGCCCAGGCCTCTGGCTCTGAGGAGGAGCTGAGTCTGACTGTTCCCCACACCGCCCATTCACTCCCAGATCTTTCCCCTGGAGAAGAGTGGGGCCTCGCCCCACGTTTCAGCTCACAAAGGTCTCAGGAGCAGGGCCTTACCCTCGGCCACACCACCCTCCTCTGACCACTCCCACCTGGCTGAGCCCTGGGGCAGGGGGACACTTCGGGCACTGAGGGTTGGTCCTGGTGTCACACAGGGTTTGGTTCTCTTCCAGATCTCCCATCCCTCTCTTTCAAACACAGTAGTTTGGCTTAGAGAAGTACATCCAGAACCAGGAGAAAGGTCTCCTAGGCAAGCTCAAGAGACCTGTGTGAGGTTCAGCAAATCCAAGTGCAAGATCTTGCACCTGGCTCACAGCCACCCTCATTATCAATACAAGCTGGGGAGCAAAAGGAAAGAGCACAGCCCTGCTGCAAAAGACATCGGGGTAGTGCTGGAGGGCAGTTGGATGTGAGCAGCAGTGTGCCCTCATAGCCCAGAAAGCGACTCTATCCTGAGCTGCGTCCAAAGCAGTGTGGCCAGCAGGCCAAGGGAGTGATCCTGCCCCTCTGCTCTGTGCTGTGAGGCCTCACCTGGAGTACTGCATTCAGATGTGGAGTCCTCAGTACAGGAGAGACATGGAGCTGTTGGAGTGCATCCAGAGGAGGGGCACAAAAATGATCCAAGGGATAGAACACCTCCCTATGAGGACAGAGGAGAGAGCTGGGGCTGTTCAGCCTGGAGAAGAGAAGGCTGTGGGGAGACCTGAGAGTGGCCTTATGATATATGAGGGGGCTGCAAGAAAGAAGGGGATGGACTCTTTAGGGGAAATGGTTTCAAACTAAAAGAAGAGAGATTTAGACTGGGAGGAAAACTCTCTAACTAGAGCATAAGGAAAGAAGTTTTTTGTAATAAAAGCAGTGAGGCACTGGCACAGTGAGGTGGTGGATGCCCCATCCCTGGGGTCACTCACTCAAGGTCAGGCTGGACGGGGCTCTGAGTACCTGATGGAGCTGTAGGTGTCCCTGTTCATCACAGGGAGTTGGACTAGGTGGCCCTTAAAGGCCACTTGCAGCTCAAATGATTCTACGATTCTTTATTTTGGTGAGTGCTGTTGGCGACACAGGGTGACCGATTTGGCGGAGAACTCACTGCGGGAGGAGCTGCCCTCTCGGCATCTCACCAACTCGCTGCGCCCGCAGCTCCCCGCACCCCGCGGTGCCGTCGCAGCGATCCCCGAGCTCCCCCTAGTGCCGCCGCCCGTCTCCGGGGACGAGAGAAGAAACTCCGGGCCGCTTCTCAGCGTCAGCCTCCTCATTTCTTTTTACAATAAAGGTAGTGAAGCGCCGGTAGGGGTTGCTCGGAGAGGTGGTGGATGCTCCGTCCACGGAGACTTTCAAGGCAGGCTGGACTGGGACCAGGGAGACCCGATCAAGCTGTGGTGTCCCTGCTCATTGCAGGGGAGTTGGGCTAGATGGCCTTTAAATGTCCCTCCCAACTCTAAGGACTCTATGATTCCATAAATATACAACTCACAAGTGCTGTATTAAAACATGAATTATTTTCAGGCAGTGTTAGTAAATAGCAGCTTGGTTTACACGATAGCATGTTCTATCCAAACACTCATTAATTTGTAACACTGGAAATACTATTTGCAGTTGGGACTTTGTAAGATATTAATGAGAACAAAATTATTAACCAGTATATTCTGACCTCAGCTCCCTGAGGTACAGACAAATGCATCCAATTAGACGTTGTGAAAGGCATGTTCACAAATCCCCAAACCCCACCATGACAATAATGTGTATTTTTAGCTGTATTAAAAAAATACTGAGGCTCTGATTATTGTCCTGGGAATCTGAAAGCAAGTTAGAGATGTGCTCTCATCTTGTGGCAGCCAAGTTTATGCAGTCAGGCTGACCACTGGGAGCTGGGTGTGGTACCACACTCCTAACTTGCTACAGTGGACAAATTCTATAAAACTGTTATTTTTTTACTTGATATTAAAACACACCAAGCTTGAAGAGCAGGATTAGCTGTAGTTCAGTTTGCGTGAGACTTCCAGTTGGAGGCAGTCATCCAAGTTTTCTAGACTAGGGAGTAGGAGGATCATGTCCTGCCCTCCTCTGCCTGTTGTAGGTGCTTATTTAGGTGAGAGAATCACTTGCTGTGAGTGCATGACTCTCACCAGCAAGTGCAGAGCTGGGTGGCTGGAGCCCACCTAAGTACCTAAAGCTCAATGACATGAACTCACCTGAACTGGGCATCTATTGGGAAATCACAGCAATTGAGACAATCAGGACAGGACAGTCAAACACACTCAGCTTTGTAGTTCCCTGTAAACTAAGGCTGGTATTCTAAAACTCAGGCTTCTAAAGTTGGCAGTTTTAAGTGGCCTTATTTCCAGCACTCACTGACATCCAGGGATCAAGGTGTTCTGGACCTCACACAATTTCCCTTTAGATGCACAGTCTGAGCTTGTGCTCAGACAAAAAAACCCCACAGTTTTTTTGTGTTTGTTTGAATTATGTTGAGAGCAGCCTCAGTTCCAATGCATGGATTAGATTCTGTTTACATAAAACCAGCAAAGAGATTTCTGGTCACAGAGGGATGGCTAAAAGACAGCTGCACCTGTCTTGTTACAGACATGCTTGTTGAAGGCAAAGAAATGAATTGCTGTGTCTTCTCCTCAAAGTAACATGAACATGGATTGTCCCACCAAAAATGTGAACAGTGCAGGAGGTGATAACATCTTCTTAGTGGTGAAGTGAAGCATTTGTGCTACATGGAGCTTAGGAAAATACTGAGGTCAAACCCCATTCATTTCTCAACATGAAATGAGCTCTTCATGTTGGAGCAGAGCTGGGAACAGAAGAAATTCCTCATCCTTACATACACCTGGGTTAGTTTTGTTGTTGGATTTGGGTGGAGAAACAGTTTTCTTCATGTTCTGGTAAATCTAGAGATTGGAAAGAGGAAAGAAAGGATACCTTCTGTTAGAATGTACTGTTCTCAGAGAACTGCTTTTCTCATGCTGAAGCAGGCGCTGGAAGGGTGCAGACCTCCTCCTAGAAGAGATATTCCTGTGCACCATGGGAGAGCCATGCTCAGGTCTGTAACGTCTCACTGAATCATAGAATCATTACTGTTGGAAAAGACCTCTAAGATCATCTAGTCCAACCATCACCACCATGCCCACTAACTATGTCCTTCAGTGCCACATCTACACGTTTCTTGAACACCTCTAGGGCTCCACTGCTTCCCTGGGCAGCCTGTTCCATTACAAAAAGAGAAACCAGATCATTGTAATCTATGGGTCCCCTCCAAAAATAAGGTTTTTCTCCTTTCTGTGTTTACTTACTGCTCCCTCTGCCTCCACCAGCTGACAGGCAAGAGAGGAAACCAGCTGGGAAAATGAGGGTCTTCTTCTGGAGTCCAGTGCCCAGCAGGACTGCATCACATAATAGCTGTGGGAGCAAGGAGGTGATAGAAAATATGTGAGCTGTTGGAGTCTGGTAAGGGCCTTCATGGAAATGCAGATATTGGATGGGAATGCAGGGCACCAGGATGACTTTCCAGAGAGAGGGCAGATTTGAACACAGTGCAACAGAGGAAAGCACAAAGAAAGGATGAGGAAAAAGGGTGAAATGAAGTACATGGCTGTACTGGTGTCCTTAGCAAAATCTTCATCACAGGACTGAGGCCAGGATTTCACACTGGCTGGAATGTAATGGTGTGTTAACCTTGTCTTCCAGCTTCCACACAGAAAAAGGTAGGCAAAATGCATTCAGGACTATCGAGCCACAAGAACAGATTCAGCTTGAGTCTGACAAGAATTGTCTTTCTAAAACGATTTCTGCTTCAGGATAAAACTTACACGATCAAGATGCATTTTTCAGAGTTAGAGAAAGATCCCACCTTCTTCAACTTTTATGAACAAGATACAGTGTAAAATAAATATGAGGTCATACAAGCAGTGACACAGCAAACATAAATCCCCACTCTGTGCATAATCCAGAAAAAGAAAAAACAACCAAAAAGCCCACTTACACATGTTTTGTAGCATAATAAGGTCTGTCCATTTTAAATCCACTTTTAATTAATTTGTAGAAGTTCGCATCAACTTGAATGCCAGGGTAAGGATTTACACCTGGGAAAATATGGTAGGAAAACTGCACTCAGGACTATGGACTCCACAAGAGCAGATACAGCTTGAGTCTGATGAACTGCCAAAGGCAAGCAGTGTTCTTTTGCCACGTTACCACCCAACGCACCCAAAGAGAATATTTCCCACAGCAGTATTCCATAAGACCAAACATCACTCTTCATGGTGTACATCCCCTCAAATAAACTTTCAGGAGCCATCCATTTAACGGGTAAACGAACCTGTGCAGGTGGGGAAAAGAAGGCAGGTCATGCCATGATATAGGCTCACTGTGCGCATTGTTGTAGCTCTCACTGCTCAGCTAGAAACAAGTTAAAAGCTTGACCTCTCTCTGAATCACTGCCTTAATTTAGCTAATTATGAACTAAGAATCTGCATTTCTCAAAGGCAGATGAAGTGAGACTTCTGCACTGTTTATACAGTTGTCTACAGCTCTAAAGAGAATTTGAAAATGTAAGACTTCCCTTTTCTTGGTTCCTTATAATTCTTAAAATATCATGAAAAACATAGAGCACTCATAAACTCACATTGCCCTGGACGATGTAGTTGGAGTCATTCATGACATCTCTGGCAAGGCCAAAGTCACATATTTTCATGACTTTCCCACGGGTCACCAGTATATTGCGGGCAGCGAGGTCTCTGTGAATGCACTAAGAGGGACAGGACGGGTTAACACTGCAGCGTTTGGTATCAGAGGGAAAAAATTACCTGGTTTGTGGCTTCGCACAGGGCTCTGTGAATCACCGCCCCTTTCCTCTGAAACTCTGCAAGTTGGGCAGTCCCTGGTTCCTCCTGGCTGAGGACAGTGCCAGGGTAGGCAGAAGCATGTGGTGTAGCCACTGCTTCTTACTCAGGGCTGTGCTTACAAGTGCAAGCCAGTCTTTGCTACAGAGCTGGGGAAGGAGGTTTAATTCAAGTCTGCCACTGTGTGGCTCTCTTCCTCTGTCTGCATTTTAATAGGCTGACGCGTTTTTGCTGTCTTTTCTATCTTAACATTATGCTACCCTTCACCTTACCGATTTGGACTCAAGAAACTCCATTCCTTTGGCAACTTGATAAGAGAAGCATAAAAGGTCTTCAAAAGTGAGCACATTAAAATCCTCGTCTTCATCCATCTGTCTGCTTGCACACTTTATTTCATCTGTAAAAAATAACCAGAACAATATTTTCCATACCCTCCCTTAATCTCTGATTAATTCTATCGGCTGTTATAGGATTTTCACCTCTCCTACCAAGAACAACATTAAGAAGAGCATTCACCTTTTGCATTCTTTGCTCAGACAAAATATTTTTGTACTCAAATACCATGTATATCATGACCAGAAACATAACCCTGAGGTATTAATTGTTAAATCCTTCCCCGGCAAAATACATTTCTGACAGGAAGGAAGAGAGACAACAGAATGGGACCTGCTGTGTTGTTGAGTAGCCAAGCTAGATCAATAATATAATAAATACAATAATAACAGAATTGCTAGAGATAAGAGCAATTAATCTATTACCTTCCTCAGAGCAGAGTGCAATCTCATTTGGTCCAGAGGTCATATTTATGTTTTGGCTTGTTTGTGTGATTTTAAGTTCATCCTTTCTGTACAGATCCATGTTCACATCATATTTCAGGTGAGCTCCCTTCCTGGTAAGAGTGACAGATTTTCCAAGGTTATACAATGGCAAAAATAATCTACTAAATGTAAACTGTTTTACAGGGAAATAGCATGATCCGTTATAACTAACAAAAACCTGAGCATAGACATGGTTTGCTCAAAACTTACAAGAGAAACAAGAGATTTCTGGTCCTTTGATAAGTGATAGGAACATTTTAAGAAGAATCAAATCTCAGTTCTTTTCAAGGCCTTGCTTCTTAAAGCTTGCAGACTCTCAAGAACTCAGTAGTTATACCTGTTCTCAGTACAGCTAAGAATGCAGCTGAAAAGCTCTCTGCAAAGTATTAAACTGTGCTGAATTTCTTACCTGGAATTTTGGTCCAAACAGATATTGTGATAGAAACTGAAGTTGTGCTGTTTAAAAATATCAGTCAGAGTCCAGTGAAATTTTTCTCTCTTGCTCCTTAAGTAGTTCAGAAGGTCACCATAGCAACAGTACTCAAAAATCAGGTAGATTGGTCCTGAAATATTTGAAAAGGAAACATCTTCTGCTATCTATAGCAGTGTCTCCATTAAAGTCTTAAGGATGGCCCAGCTTCCTCCAGGATTGATTTGTATTAAATATCCCAGTCATCTCCCCTAGTCAGGTAAATGAACTGCAGATACACCGGTGGAAATCCCTTTGGAAAGTGTATGCAACTGAACTTCCCTTGTGGTCCATCTCTCAAGGTGGACTTCAAATCCCAATGAAGGCATGAAGACCTTTTCCTATGCCAACAGCACTGGGCAGGAGGCACAAGGGTACAACGGTTCTCAACAACAAAAGGTGATCCCTGCTAATTGTCTTGTTAGTAAGAATGAGTATCATGACTTATGGCCTTTCATTTATATACAAAGGAAGGAAAAATATTTCCAATCCCCAGAGGAAGGCCCTTACAAGAGTGCAGGAGCAGAATGAACAGCCCAGGGATGCTTGGAGTGGCCTCACTTCACCCCTGAAGTCTAACACTTGCTCAGAAAGAATGACTAAGAATTTATGGACATTTATGACCCAGACTGGTAAAATCCTGCTCTTTCTCCTGAAGTGATCTGTCTTCAGCCCCAGTTCATCTGCTCCTATCCACTGCTGGGTTGGCCACAGCTCAACTTCCTGGCAATATCCTCAATGATATCACTAGCCACTCATTAATTAATTAGTGATAATATAGGTGATTAAATAAGTCTTGGATTTCTTAACACTGCTGCCAGTTATCAAATTTTAATACTTCTTTTCTGTTCAGGAGCCTTCTTTAGTCTAAGGGTTTTAATTGATACCTTTCCCCAAGAGCAAGTTACCTGACACAGTGCAGGCTCCCAGCAGGTTCACAATATTTTCATGGCTTCCAATGTGAGTCATCATTTTCAGTTCAGACATCAGAGCATCTTTTTCTGAAGTGTCAGACTTTTCTGAGAGAATAATTACACAGACTTGTAAACCTCCAGCCAAGAATTATAAATGCAAATGGTTGTGATGCTTTGTCACATTCAAATCTTCATTTTAAATGAATTGTATTCACAGTTAATTTGGGGACATCCTAAAAAAGTGTGGCATGGATGACCTAAGCAGGCCATAGTGTATTTCAACAATACCTTCAGGTTTGTTTTTCAGCAAGTATTCAGTCCTTGTGGGCTCAGTGAATTGGAGACATGAGCTGGAATAATCAAGACAGATTCCAATAAAGACATCAATCAAGCAGTAGATGGAGGAAGCAAAGCAGGTACAAGGATGTGAGCAATCCTTGTACTTGGGCTGGAAGGCTGTACTGGCTGTGCAGGCCAACAGGTGAATTCTGCTGGCTGGCAGGGATGCTCACTTCTGGACACTGCTTTTATAGGAGGGGAGGATAGCCAGAGCAAAGCAGCAAGGAGAATCTGAAGTTTAAGATGCTTGTCCTACAAAGAAGGACGGAAATAAGTGGTTTTGTGCCCTCAAGAATGGGTTATAGGAAGATTTGCTGGAGGCTCTGCAAACAAGCTTGCTCAGATATAGGAGGCAAAGCATATGCAACAGCTCCATTCTTTCCCACACACTACAGATCTTCTCTGCTTAGAACTAAATGCAACATGCTGCAGGAAGAAAGCTTTGCAGCAACACCTTCTGGATCTGAAACATGCTTTTAAAAGCATTATAAAAAGGTTTAGGAACCAAGCATTTGTGAGGCCTAACTGCTGAAAGCGTATTTAAAGAGGTTCCTCACTGCTTCTGCTTTGGAGTCAATAGAGTGTATCACTGCTTGCAAAAATCTCCCACAGTTTAGAGTACCTTTTAGCATTTTGACTGCAACCTGCACTGAGTCTCCTGCCTTGCTAATTCCATAAGCTGTAGCATTCACCACTTTCCCAAAAGCCCCAGAACCAAGAACCTGTCCTGCAAGACACAATAAACCAGTGTTATGAGTCGTTGATACAGCACAGGCTGCCACTCCAATGCTATGGTTTGCCTTGAGGACTGCTCACCAAATTCCAGATTTTCCCTGGGAAATTCCCATTTGAGATCATATTCATATTCACGGAAGTCAATGTAGATGTACTCATTATCCAATGGTCCAATCACCTGAATCATTTGCAGCTGGCTTTCGTATCTAAATTGCTTGGGAAGGAAAAAATGCAGAGAAAGTCTTAGAGAAGGAACAGCCTGTTAGGAACAAAAGATGAAGGGACAGGTATTGATGCTTGTTTTTACCTTTTTGTATTTATGACAAATGAGAACACACAAAAAAATGATCAACAGGAAGATAAATCCAGCAAAAACGCAGAGTGCAGCATTGTCTGGCAGGGAAGAAACAGTTCATGCAACTTTAAAAGAGAAATGTTACTACCCACTGACCAGAGACTGTGACTAGGGCACAAGGAGAGCTGGTAGCAGCTTAGCTGCTTTTACTTTTGCAGCCACTTCACATCTGAGCTTCCTCTGTGCTGGGAGTACAACGGAGACACAAGCAGAGCAAAGAGCTGGGCAGGGAACACTCAGTTGTGGGTAGTTCTGACATTTGCTTTCATTTAAAGAAACGTGCTACATGAATCAACGCATCTCAGGGGCTGGACTTTGTGAGCATAAGCAGAAGTAAAAAATTCCTTTTCTCGTCTTCCCTTTTCTCTCTTTGCATCTTCCCCCAAGCAATGTAGTCAGATACCAAAGCACCAGCATCAGCGGATGGACTGCACAAAACCTGCTTTGCAAACTTTTCTGCTGCTCAGAAAGGAAATCTCTTACCTAGCCAAGGTCATACAAAAAGGTACTGTTTGGTGAGGAAATGCTACATGAGGTCTGCCTTCATATTCTGGTAATTTCTAAGAGCATAAGGATTTGGCTTACTTTCTATTGCCATTTCAACATAAATGCTCAAATTCTATCAGTGGTCACAGCTTATGTCAACTGTGATCAAAAGCAGCAAACAGCTTGGTTGTCCATGACAAGGGAAAGCTCTGTGCTTTCAAATGCTTCAAAGCATTTCTCAAGTGCCAGAGCGTGCTTCCTGGAACTGAAGTATTCTGCCCTATGGGATGTACGTAGAGTGACAAATGTCAAGTGGATGGGCAAATAATCATGTTGATTTTCTTGGACAACAAGCAAGCAATCTCGGATAGGCTTTACAAGAAGAGAGATGGCACAGCAAATCCCAAACCAGGGATCTGTTCCCCATGTGCCTCCTCCAGGATAGGAGCAAGAGCCAGCACTTGCCACCAGCTACCAGCATGGCTTCAGCTCTTCCCAAAGCTGATGCCTCCCGTTTCCAGGTGGAGATTACTAAGAGGAAACAAAAAAAGCAGATTCCAGCACTGTCATGATTCCATCCTGCACTTCTGACTCTTGTGGGATTTCTGCTCATTTTAATGAAGGGGTTCTATGCTTTGGGATTAGACAAGAGACATATGTCTCCCTTTCACCCAACACTCCCCACACCGCGTGCACACAGTGCTTGTGTTTTCCCCTTAGGGCCAGCCATTTAGCCAGATAAAAATACTGCAGGTTCTACCATGACAGCTTTAATAAAGTTGTGAAAATCTGCACTAAAACACTGAGTTCTGGTACCTGGCATGTTAATGAAGCTCTTCCTGCAGTTGGAGCCGACCAAATTGCTTGCACAGCATTCAACAGAGAACGTTGTTGCTGTCTCCTTTACATCTAAAATACTGCTTGAAATCCATGACCCCAGAGATCTCCTTTCTGGCAAGAAGTTCTGGATCCCTTCCTTGATTTCTTCAGTACAGCTGGAAAACAAAGGAGTCCAGTTCTGATTTTTGGCTTGTACTCACTTTTCCCAGAGAAGGTAGGATGTTTCAAAACAAGTCTTACATCTGCATTGGAAGGGAGGAAGATAAGGACAGATGAACTGTTTTGTTCTGTCACTGCTAGAGAGAGGTTTCAGAGTAGTTTCTAGTGCCACGTATTTGTGATAGATGTGGCAGGGTAAGCAGGGGATTAAATGGGCTTTCTACTCTCACACTGGGTTCACACTCTCCTTCCATTCCTACTGCTTGTACCTTTACCTTGCCACTTGAGCTGCTACTAAAGCAGCCAATATAGCATGAACTCAGAGCAAAAGTTCTGACTCCTTCCATAAAAGAGATGCAATTTCAGCCACAAGTTTCTCTCACTCAAGGCCTAAAATGAAAAGCATCCATCCTACATGAATGGCTTATTTAAGATGTGATATGTAGATATACAGAAACTTATACCTGAGTGAAAGGACAGTTTCCACTTTTTACTTTTCTATCACTCAGTAACTTACTGCTTAACTTCCTGTCCACATAAAAAAAAAATCATGGATGAGCTAATAAATAAAGCTCTGCATATATAGGATTATTTTCTACTTGTGGAAGTTCTCAAGAAAAGAAAAAACTGCAGCATTTTCTTTTTCCAGAAAGCTGTTTTAAGGAAAATTTGAAACCTTCTAGCTGGATGTTTTCTTTCTTCTTCAGTTTCTACACAAACAGATTGATGTTTGGAAGCCTTTGCAATTATACGGATGAGAAAGTTGTCTACGTAATTCTTTCATATCTAGTTGAAATGCTTGGAGTTTTATACATAATCTTCCAAAAGATGATTTGACCTGGTGCTCTTCTACAACGGTGGGATTATTAGTTTTTGGCACATCTGAAATGAAAGCTACAGAATTCATAAAACAGCTCAATGCTGTCTCAGCTTCTCATGAAATTTTAGGGCCTGACTCATTGCCCTGAATAAATAAAGGAAATGGAAACACTCTCACTGACTTTAGCAACTACAGGTCATTGCAACAGCTGTATTAGCCAAAGCTTAACCAATTAATCAAACCCATACTAACTAGCACATTCCCTGAATGCCCCTCAGCTTTGATTGTAGATACATGTCTGAGGAGGTGATAGGATATATTTTGGTATGAAGAGCCTGGGATACACATCCTTACAGATTTTACTCAGTGCCAAAAAAAGTACTGAAAAATCTCCCTAATTTTGGTGATAGTAATTCCCCTGGAGTGGGCCACAATATTTCATTTTCTTCATTTAACTAAGGATCACTCAGATACGCTCCTTGCAACAAATTGAACAGAGAAGACTATTTATTTACTTGGATGAGTTCAGGTCAGGACAGTTCCTCCAAACCCAGGACGAGGCTGGATAGCTGTCAGCGATGCAAGAGATCTGCTTGAACAATAACTGCATTGTTACTTCAGGTTTTCCTGCAACCAGATGACACAAGACAACTTCTGTCAGTGCTCTGCTAACCACAACCTTTGTGTTTATGTGATAACACTACATCTGCCAGGGCCCCAGTCTGCTTCTGTGGTTGCAAAATAACCCACCTGGATGCCATCATGGGAGCTCGCTGCAGCCCTCAGCTCTCCCCCTTCCTCTAGCCCCTGTGCCTTGTGCCTTGTGCTGTGGGCAAGGGCAGTAGCCACTTCTCTACATGCACACAGACAAACCAAAACAGCAGCAGAGCCAAAACTGGAAATCTTAACTTCTGCTTTTCTGACTGAGAGCAAGCATTCAGCCTCAGCATTGCCCTGACAGCCCACTTCTGGTAGTCTGGCTCACATAAAATGTGCATGGAGGTGCCTGCTCTGCAGCTTTCCAGCATGGAACAATGTTTGAAGCTACAGCCATGGTTCACAGTGGAAACAACCAAGCGTACCAACCAAGACTGTGCACGCCTTTCAGCTGCAGGTAGGCATGTCTGAGGTGGTGCAGCCTTCATGGAGCCTCTACAAGACAAGTGGTCCCCAGACTGACTGCTCTAACTCACAAATGTCTTCAGTAAACAACAAAAAAAAAGACATAAACTGATCACAAAGTGCTACCACCTAATGGGTGTGCTTCCTTTCACTATATATCTCTCCAGCAGTCACATATGTTCTGTCTCTGTAGGGTTAAAATACAGCCACTGTCTTTCAAAGGGCTCCTAGGCTTTGTGGTTTTCTTTAGAAATGTTATTTTTTTTTTTAGTATATGACTAATTTCTCTTATTTTGTCCCCTCTGTTGACAGCAAACTAAGGGAAGGAGAAAAAAAGAAAATGACTTCCTCCTCTGATTTGATAAGTGGACTCTTCCTTGGTATTTACCATTTCATTTCCACAGCTTTATTGCTAAAAATGGAAGAACAGAAAGTAAAACCATGATTCTCTTCACACGACGCTGCACTAATGAAATCCAGGCACTGAGTATGGAGAATGGTGCTGAGTGCTTATGGGTCACATTGCTTGTGCTGGTCAGAGAAAGGACATGTCTCCTCTGCAAGCTTGGATGACCCCAGCAGGGTGCTCATGGCTAAGAGGGCATGTAATGGAGAATTTGCCCACCCCTGATATGGAGATATTTAACAGTACACAGTATGATCTCTTGGACTAAGGCTGGGACAAAGCTATCCCCATGCTGGATGTTCTTTCACCAGCCCTGCATAACAACTGAACCTTGACCTTTCCTGTTGGTAGTCACCTCATGCTATGTTGATAGTAGGGACATTCCCAGTGGTTTACTTCTACCCATTAAATTAGGGCACAGCTTATCTTGCACTCTGCCATGAAGTAAAGGAGGTCAAAAACTCTCCCAGATAGAACCTGGCTATCCAGATCCTTCTGTAAGACCTTTCTACCCCCAGGCAGATTGACAGATCCTGCCAACCTGGTGTCATCTGTAAATGTATTGGGAGTGCATTCAGTGCCCTCATCAGGCCATCACTAAAGAGATTGAACAGAACAGGCCCCAGTACCGACCCCTTGAGGACACCACTCATGACTGGTCACCAGTTGGATTTAACTCCATTCGCTCTTTCGGCCTGGCCCTCCAGCCAGTTGTTTACATAGCAAAGAGTGTACCTATCCAAACTGTGGGCTGCCAGCTCTCCAGAAGAATACTGTGGGAGTCAGTGTCAACAGTCTTTCCCTCATTCACCAGGCAGGTCCTTAGATCATAGAATTCAGTCTCTACTCAGAGATCACTCTGAGATTTAAGCCACCTAAGCTCAAAATGGATGGAGGTAATGAACATTTAATTGTCTCTCTTCTATTGTATGACACAGCAGCAGTGTAAAGCAACATCTAACCTCCATTTACATCAGTGATAAAACCTAATTGAGAGATCAAGGTTTTCCCTCCCAGATTTGGCTACGTCTTTACAGGGATTCTTTTCTCACTTACTTCTCACATACAGAGTGAATTTTTTCGTCATGACCGTATCATCATTTTCAGCATAAAATACATATATCCCAGAACGGTGCTGATGATTGCAGAACTTTGATGAAATGCTGTGGAGCAAAGAAAAGAACAAAAAATTGTCTTGAAAAAAGATTCTAGATGCAGTCAATATTCATATACATGTTTGAAACAATTCAACGCCTTCTAATGATGAATCCAGACTAAATTATTAACATTAATCCAGAAAGAATGTAAATATCTTGGAGGATTTCTTTCTCCCTGCAGTACAAATTTCCCTCGCAATTTTTTTTCATATTTCTTTGAGTGCATCTGGGACGTAGGGTTGTGATTTTGTGACCAGTCCTTTGGAAGACAAGGTGTATAACACATCCTGGTGCAGATGCTAAGATCAGCAAAGATTCAAGTTCTCTACTCTCTGGAGGATTTCTATGTGAGTTTCTAGCTGATAATAAGAACTAATACAAAATAGCAGTGAGATAGTTAGGATCATGCAAGATAAACCTCTCCAGATCAGAAGGTCTAATGGAAACTCAAAAATGAGTTCATCATCTGAAGGTCAGTTTCAGTGAGAGAAAATATCGAGATATTTCTGCAAGAGGCAGACTTCTGCTAACCACTGTGGCCCGTGGTCCAATGGATGGTAAGAAACCAAGACTGAAACCTGAAGGAAGATGCTTGTGACAGTGGAAACAGTGAGGGAGAGCTCCAAGAAGTCCCTGAGCAGAAACTATTATCAGAGGACTACAATGAAATAAAGATTGAGCATGACTGACCTATTGAGTGAGGAAGAGGTGGGGAGAAAGAACTATATCACCTTACAGTGTTGGCATCCCATTTTTGTCCTTTTGGTTAGGTTATTTTTGTCAGAATAATTGTCAGATTTCAATGGCAGCTTTTGCAGTTCATCAACTTCTGGACAGTGCCCTCAGACATAGGGTTTGAATTTAGGGTGGTGCTGTGTGCAGTCAGGGGTTGGTCTCAGTGATCCTTGTGGGTTTCTTCCAACTCAGGATATTCTATGATTCTATGACTCTATTTTCCTGGGGAATTAGAAGTAGATATTTAAAGACCATACTGGCAATAGAAAAAGTAAGAGAAAGCAAGATCTTGCTCATTAAGCATGATACCAAGCAAGAACTAAGACACCAAGTATTACCACACAGTTCTAATGAAGAAAACTTGCACATAAACAACTGGGAATTTTGCCTTCTGATGAATGCAACATGTCCATATTGAGTTACTGGCTTTTGAATGTGTTAATCTGAAAAGGCCTCAAAGATGTCCCTGAAACTCAAGGGATTGTTCTGAGGTCCGATCCCTTTTAAGATGCCTCAAAGACAGGGCAAACCACAAACCATTCGCTGCTTTTGAAATCCTAGGTCTGAAGGATTAAATCCTAATGAAGTAATGAGAAAATCATTAGAAAAGAAAATCATTAGAAAAGAATGTCTTAGTTATCTGAGAATCTTTGGGGATGTGAGATAGACAATATAAATCCAACAGAAGTCATTATGTATATGAAAACTCATTTGCTCTTAAGAGGGAATTGAAAATCATCAGTGTGATAGAACACAGAGGCAACTTCTGCAGACAAAAAATGCCTTTGCAGAGGCAACTGTGTTGCAGATAAAAAATGGGAATTTTGAAACAATCAGTGAAAACATAAGGGCATTGATAGAGAAATGAATCACTGAGACTTGAAATCAAAAGCTAAAGAAGGGGTCAGAGTTAATTAATAAAATTCAATGTGGTCTGTAATCAGAAAGAATAGCTTGATAAGGAAAAGACAGAAATCAGAAAAGGGAAAAACAGGAAATGAAAAAGGATATGAAAGGAGTAAAGTAGAAGTGTTAAAAGATGGAATTACACAGAAGTCAACTAAAATGAGCAAAGTTAGACTCAGAGTATGTTAAGGTATGTGTTGATATTTTTCATGCTGTTTTGAGAAATCTTCTGCTTTAAAATTATGTCCAGACCTACAGTGCTACAATTTATAGGCAGAATTCCCTCAGCTTGTTCCTCTTGCTGCTTCTAGAGACACCAAGGTGAACAAAACCCTCACCTCTCACTGGGCAAGCTCTAGTGGTGTGGGGCACAGGTGGGAGCAGTCCCCCAGCCTCATTGAGCCACAGAAGTTGTCTGGGGTGATGCAAGCATGGAGGCCACCAGAAGCTGCACTTTTCTGATTAATGGATTACCTAAGCTATGTCATATCTTTCCAAGTTGTTATTGTTGGCTCATGCTTTAGCACCTTCTTATCTGGATTGAATTACATTAGCCGCCAAGAGTCTAAGAAAAAATGACTCCTACTCTTAACAAGTCCATGAGAGCCACTAAGCAAGTAAATTTGGCATTATCAGGCAAGGATGAGCAAATTCTCATGGCTGCCCCACAAGACCTCACTTCCAAAATCAGTCCTGACCACAAAGAACAGACCTGCCTAGCCCACATCAGGCATACAGATTAGTCACCGACATTATCGAAGTTTGATGACAGCCCTCACTTTATCAGCAGGGACAGAGTTCCTGTGGTCACTGCCAGGAGATGACAGTTTACTGATCTCCACTGAACTGTCTCTGAAACATGCAGAGGTCTGACTCCAATACCCTTCTGATGCAACAAATAGGCAAGTCTGTTGTGAAGACGACTTGAGAAGCTAGTAGGTATGATCAGACGTATCAAAAATATTTTGGAAATGAAGCAAAAAAAGTGAAATCAAGGCTGTGACACAGCTTAAAGGAGATGTTAAGAATATGTAAAGAAATTAGTGTGGGTAGATTAACATCTGCCCACATCTTGCTTTTTTTAAAGCTAAAACTTCACAAGAGCAGTGTGGCTTTATTTTCACTAAGGTGAACAAGAGCTGCTACCTTGAAAATGTGGGACTACTCTGAAAGAAACTCTGAAGGAAATTAGATAATCTTATCAAGAGATTAGAAAGCCTGGGGAATTGAGAAAACATTAGCCTTAAACAGGACTTGTGCCAGAACTTTGTTTTAGGAAATAACAGAAAAGGTAGATAAATAACAGGTTTATTCACAACATGTTTTGCAACAATGGAAGAATACCATGACCTAGGTAATTAGCAGAACGGTATGTTTCTGTGGCACAGGCAGAGCTGCACAGATCTAAAGGCAGCTTGGGAAACTACAGGGCCCTGGGCTTGATTTGAGCAACAGCAAAGATACCGGGAACATCATCAAGAACAGGATGATGAAAGGGGAACATACAGAACTTGAGGTCCAGTGTGATCTCAAAAGAGATCGCAAAAGAGCTGTAACTGAAAAATCATATCAGAGAGGAGAATGGCAAAGTATATACAATCTGAAAAGTTGCATAATTTACCAATGGGTTTATTATCTCATGGAGAATAAAGAGATTCTATAGATCATTTAACAAATTGCTGTTGAAAGCCAAACTACCATTGGATTACCATTAGTTAACATGGCTTTATCACCTGACCCATCCACATATAAAAAATACAAAGAGAGTGTGAAATATGGATGATAATAAGACATAAAATGAAAACATTTGAAATTATATCAAAATATTCCAGTACCTGTGTCCATCCTCACTGTAACTTTGCTTACATGGAAATGTTTTCTGGGAAAATAGCCACATGCATTCAACTGGTGGATACGCTGTAAAGTTAACTTCAAAGCAAAACTCTTCATCACCAATTTCAAAATCTTCTCTAGAGTCAGTTATATTTATAAATCCCTTTTCTGAAAAAGAGATAATATTGATACTGTGTTAAAAAGGCTGACCTGCTTAATGAATGGGTTCTGACATCTGTCTGTTTTTTGTTTTAGTTGTCACAAGTGAAAAAAGGCGCCGTTACATCACAAAAGGCATCCTGTTAATCAAAAGAAGATAATCCTTCAAAAGTGGCATTGCAGTGATGTCACTGCGCTCTGGCTTGAGTCTGTGTGATATCTGCTGGAGCTGTAGATATGATCAGACGAGAGCCCTTCCAAAATGCTCCAACATTTCTGCTCTACCCACCTTACAGAACCTCAGGTCCAGTAACTCCATTATTTTTTCTTTGTTTGCTTTAGTTGGGTGTTAGCAGCTGCATCTAACAGAACAAAACCACGCGGCACCACCAGCATGACCAGATGTTAATAGTCTCTGTTTCTGTGAAATGAGCTAAAGATTTTGTAAATAAGTCTTATAACTGTTCACTTATTTCTTCATCTAAATTAAAATTATTTTATGAAAGGCAAAAAGAACATGAGAAAGCATTTTGAAGGTGTGCATTGAATATGTACAGCTGGTTTTTCCTTGCTTGGGTGGGATTGGTTTCACCAAATAGATCTGTCTGAAGTTCAGTGACTCACCTAAGCTGTTTTGTTTGGACCTCTCATACATTCAGTGGAAGGGGGTGGGCATGTCTGGATATATCCCATCCTTGAACAGAAGATAACAAAGATATAATGAAATGTTCTCTGGAAATACTCATGCCACTGACTGCTGGAGGAACCAGGTCACTGCTGCAGCTAGATGTCTCATGAGCTGCAATGAATCCAACCCAAAGAGAATGAACAGCAGGCATATGTGGGAGGCAACAGTCCTAATTGCATCAGCAGATATAGGATCAGCTCTGTGAAGATCACAGAATCATATATGTTAGTGAGCTCTGGAGATGCTCAGAGGAGGTCCAACTAGACAAGGCTGCCTAGACCTGTGTCCAGTTCAGTTCGGACTTAGGGGAAACTTGTGTCAGTGTTAAATCAGCCACCTGGTGAAAAAACTGCACTGTAGAAGTATTAACAGAGTGGGATTTCTCTTCAGTGTGCTTTTCTTTCAGTTGTAACCCTATATTGATTTTGGCATGTTTTGTCTGTCTAACTGACTGGTTTAAAAAATACTATCTGGAAACTCCCATACAAACCACAAAAATTTCAGTATTTTAAAACAAGAAGCAATCCTATTCATGACCATTATCCTCCTTTTTATGCTAAAGTTTTATTGGTTTAATAAATTAGACCTTCACCTTTTGATTACTCCCTTGGAACTCATCTTTCCAGGTCCAAGGTTGTCTGTTTACAAGTGTTAACAATACAGCTTGTCAAGAGTGAAGGCTTTCTCCAGAGTGCACACAGGGACTCTGGAGTAGGAGGAAAACACTCAGAAAGAGTAGTTCCTTTCTTGAAGCAGAAAGAAAACAGCACTTTCATTTTTTCCTTGGCTTACTTTTTTTTTTTTTTTTCTTGGCACGTTTGAAAGTATTCGTGCCAGAGAAATAGTGAGCATGATTTTTAATGATAAAGAAGTGAGCTGAAATTTTTGAGGCTGGAATCAAACTTTTTGTGCCACTGCCTTTATTGCGTTTGTTTAATGCTACTTGAAACTTAATATATGTTACAAAATATCTTGCATATTCCCAAATTCAGATTGCATGCTGCTAAAAATTCTTTATTCAGCACTGGTTGAAATTGAAGATAAGACCTGCAGGAACACAGAGCCTTGCAGCTGCAGTTGTTGGCACGATCTCTGTTTAGCTTTCAGTGTCTAAGCACCCTGCCTGATTTGACCAACTAAGGAGGATGAGATAAGCTGCTGAAGTATCGAGTAGCAAAGAGCAGGCAAGATGTGTCTGGCTAGGAGGTGTTAGAGATCATCTATCAGTGTAGCTGTATTATGCAAACTCCCTAGGCAATGCAGAGTGCCCCAACTTCTTGGTAAAGTTACATCACCACCAATCCCAGTGTAGCTATAGATGCAGATTCATGAACAGTGACGGTCTGAAAGTAGGACACCAAACATTTCAGAGGTTGCTACCCTGTAACACAGACATCTGAATGAAATTTCTGTACGTATCACTGTTGAAATTGACTTGGTGTGCTAGCACAGATTCACTCTGGCAATGGCTGTAATTAATAAATCAGGCTAAAAGCTGTGACACATAGAAGTGTTGCACGTGATGTCCCTGTATAACCTTGGAAAAGGAAGTGTGAGGTAAGTAACATCTCTTCTCATTAATCCACCATGTAAGCAAACAGATCTTTTCAAAGCAAAGCCAAGGAGTCCACAGAGGTTTCACAAGCATGAAGTGGTATTAAGGAAGGTACAACTCCCATAGTTTGGAATAATGAGGTAAAAAATGTAATGAAAACAAAATTTACATTACAAATGTACAACCTTTCATGGAGAGTGACTCACATGTCTCCTGTCAATGTGATGCTTAGACATAAGAGTTCAGGGATCCAAGAAGCTGGTATTTCTGAAACGAGCACTGGTACTAGAGAAAGAAGAGGATTTTGCCCCAACCAGGTATCACACTCAGTTATTGTATATCATTGCAGAACTTCCTGCTCAGAAGTAGGCAGAAGCTGAAAAGGGGATGTTGCACTGGAAAAGTCATTTTTGAAGATGCCAAGGGAAGTATTCTCACTTCCTATCACCCCTAGCTTAGGCGTTGCAAACTCTGACAGTAGCTACATCTAAGATCAGATGGGTGCTTCACAGAGCCTGGTTCTTGGGGAGAATAGCCCAACTCCACACATTGCTGTCACAAAATGGTTCCCAACATTGACTTCAGCAGCACCACCCAGGCTACAGCTTTCCTTTTAACGCCTTATTTCCAGATCTCTGCCTAGTTAGTATATTATCTCCACCTGAGAAATCAGGTTTGCTTCTGAGGCTGTAATGGGATAATTTCAAGACTGTTGGCTTTTAGATTAACATGTTGCCTGAGTAGAATGAAGTTTCTGTTGGTATGTTTGAACTTTCAGGCCTTGTGTAGCTTGGTGCTAGAAGAATGGTTCGTTTCAGTGCCTGAGAAGCAGAAGACAAATAGACCAGCCAGTAACACAGCAGCAGTTGTCTCTGGAGCTTCAGGTTTCCCTTCCTACCATCACAGCTACAGCATCTCTCTTGTTAGGCAGTTTGCCAGCTCTGTGGTTATGGGCTGTTCATGATCTCTTTGTGCACTGTTCACACTTCATGCAAAAGTTTTCATTCTGCTACTAGTTCCACAGGTAACTGAACTAGAATTCTTTCAAAGATTTTCTTTTCCCTAAATAGTTTGGCAAACTCAAATGGCCGTCTGTCGGTCATTCCCTTGCCATAAGAGGAAATTGACCTTTCTCTTTTTTTCTGTGTCTTGGGTGAGAAAGCCACCTCCAAGAGACTTGCAATTGCTTGATTGCTTCCTAGTAGACCCAAATCAGGCCCGATGCAAACTTTCTATCTGCTTTTTTGCTGTGTTGCAGCAATGAGTCCCTGAAGGGACCATGCTTGCAGGTGGAGTGGAGATTCCCTACCAGGCAGATGGAGGACATCGTGAGGAGACTGAGATCATGGCTACAACCTTCCAAAACTCAGGGTGGAGTCATAGCAGAACAATTCTGTATCACGGTAGTTGAGACCAGCTGGTGGTCTCCAGACTGTGGCCAAACTAATATATGGAGCACTAATAGCTGAATACAAGGACAAGTCATGCTCATCATACTCTTGGCCAGCTCCAGAAATGGTGTGTTCTGAAAGGACTTTCTCCTAGATATTTGTATGCTCTGCAGCTGCCAAAATCTGACTTGGTAGCATAGAGGTTCCTCTCCCCAGAAGCCCCAGGGCAAAGCTGCCAGTAGCTTAGTGTCCCCACAAAAAGCTGCCGTGGCTTTGTGTCACACAGGCTGGGAGTATTCTACAACAACATGACCTGACTCCCAGCCTGTGCTTCAAGAAATAACCATGAAACCTCCCAGCAGCGCCTGCTCATTTCACCTCTAAAAGCACTGTCTGTTAATGAGAATTATTTGGAAAGCAGTTTGGAAAGAAAAAGTTTGTTATCGTCAGGAACCTGAATGACTCAGTTCAGATTAATCTCTTGGCTTTCCTGGTCTGTCACTATGTGCAAACAGGACTTTTTCTTAGAAACTGCCAGGAACACGTGTTGCACACCTGCAAGCAACTACTATACTGAAAACAAAGCAAAGCAACCAGTCCAGGGACAAAATTAACACTGGGGTTGGAATTACCTAAAACAGTAACCAGAGCAGTTTGATTTGGATGAGCTGTAGAAGAGCAGGTATAACGTCCGCTGTCACCTTTTCTTGCTGCTGAAGTAAACACGTACTGGACCCGAGTGGCTGAGTGGTCTGTTTGGTACTCCAACCCATCGAATTGGCGATTCTAGACGTCAACAGAAATTTCCTTTTAATCAGCTGATGGTGCCTAGTGTTGCTCATTTTAAAACATACTGCTTTCTTACCTGCGGCACTTCTTTGTTTTCAAAAGATAAATTTATTCTGAATTTGTAATTACGATAAACAGCTCTGCATCTGATCAGCAATGGTTCTCCAACTTTGAGAAGTAACTCAGCTGAAGGTGTTGCTCGTCTTTCACTTAAATCTACAAAATGAAACATAGTCACAAAACAACAGCTATGATTCTGTCTAGAAAGATACTCATTTAAATCAATGTTTGTTCTTCTAATTCTGTACAGATATCCATGATTACCTTGTAATGATAATTAGAATTTGAGAAAATTACTCATTAACCATGAAATCAGGAAATATGGTGGATTTAGGGGAAAGTTCTTTATTATGAGATTGGTGAGTTGCTGGAACAGGCTGCCCAGAGAGGTTGTTGATGCCCCATCCCTAGAGGTGTTCAGAGCCAGATCGGATGGGCCCTTGGGCAGCCTGGTCTGGTATTAAATGTGGAGGTTGGTGGCCCTGCATGTGGCAGGGGGGTGGGAGATTCATGATCTTGAGGTCCCTTCCAACCTGGACCATTCTGCAGTTCTGTGATTCTGTGATTTAGATGCCTCAAACCAAATGCTTGTCATAATTTACAATGTTTAGCTCCAGTCAAGCTTACTTAAAAAAAAAAAAAGAAAAAAAAAAAAAAAGACAAACAAAAACTTTACATTTTAAGGATATTCTGAAGCACATTCGCTGCAACGGAGCCCTAAAAGCATGCAAAAATCGATGACAGCTCTTTAGAAAAGGCAAGATGCTATTTACAGAGACCACAAATAGCTATAACAATTTAGGATATAAAATACAAGACAGAGCAATTGCATTCACGTGAGATTTGTTCTAGTGGTTACAAACAACTTAGTCCATAAAGGGTATTCAGGCAAGCAGTGCAACGAACTCCAGCAGCAGGATCCAGCTCACACATATAAAAACCCTAAATGGGAAGTTACCTATAGTAAAGAGGTTGGTGCATTCTCTGCCCAGATCATTAGCTGCACAGCACCATATATAAGTCTCAAACAATTCACTCTGGTATACTTCATATTGTACCTTCTGTATGCCATCTATTTCTCCATTTTCTTCATGCATTTTATTAAGGCAGCTGTAATTGCAAGCACAATTATTCATTGACTCATTTGGGTAACCTCCAGTGAATAAATCTGATAAATCTCCAAGCCATGAGAATATGCAAACAATAGTGGGAAAATTGGATCTTACACTGCAGAATAAAGAGGAACTCGGAAAGGCAAAGATAAGAAAATAAAAATGTCACAGCCTAGCCATAAGAATGATCTGAAATGACCTGAATATACTCAAAATGATGCATGAATGGGTAATTCTATAACTAAACGGAGAAATCATACAGGTTGGCCTTTCACATCATGTCCCTGAATTCATGATGATGGGAGTTGCTCCAAATCCAGCAGAAATGAAATCCCAGATCCCAAACTGCCACACAGCAGAGAAAGGCATTCCCTATTGCCAGGGTACGAAACACACTGCAGTCTATTTTCTTTGAGCTGATGTGCTGCTTACTTGAGCACATTCACACAGTTGAAGAATCAATCAAATATGATAATAGAATGATAAAAAAATCATGATCCCTTATGACATCTCCCCAGCTTTAATGCAAGCGTATTTCTTTTTAAAGTGAAAAACTAGAGAAAAAGGAGACACTTTTGATTTGTTCTGGTGACATTACAATGCCAAAATCTGGAACAACACTTCCAAGCCAAGAGCTGGAGGTTTCCAAAAGAGTGCAACAGCCAACATTTCTAAGAAAACTGTGCTCCCACGTTCCAACAGTGAGTCATGCATACACATGGGTGTGCAGCCCAGCAGAGCCCACTGCGTCCTGCAAACATGCTGACCCAAAGCTCTTTATTATACAGCCAACTCACCAGGCAGACCAAACACTACAAAGCCTCTCCTTTCCTCATCAGAAAATGGTAAACTTTCAGTCTAGAAATTCATAATGCATAAAAACCTGTGCCGTACCTCTTTTCATGTGTTTTGCAAAATGTCCACTTCACAGAGGGCTGGGGGTAGCTCTGTGATATGCACTTTATTATATCCAGTTTCTCAGGTATCATGAAATAGGGTTTGCCAGGTTTACCTGTTAAAAATCATGCAACTGTTTAAAAATGCTGAAATAATAATTATTGAGCTAACAGTGCCTTGCTTATTTCACAGTACTTGAAGTCACAGAGATGGAACTTACTTTCATGAGTTTTCACTGCTGGGGTCAATGAAACAATTCAGCCCTGAGCATATTGAGGGTTGGTCTCAGCAGCTTTTCTGTCTTGATTTGCTAAATGAATACATTTCCCACTATCAGTGACCTGCACCAGATAATGATCCTGGGGCTAACACCTTGCTGTTATGCTGGTGTTAATGTGCTGGTGTTAACTGGATGTAGCTGCCAGTCACATGGGAAGGAGCAGAGACACCTTTGGAAACCACATCCCAAGCCCCTGGCCTTTGGTGGAGCATCCCCAGATAAGATTGTCACGTCCAAGTCAGACACAATGGAGGAACAGCGGGGAACAACGGCTTCTGATCAGCAGCAGGCTTCTCCATGCAGGTCATCTTACATTAGGACTTCCACTCGAGAGACTGACATTTTCTTTAGAGCCATGCTTTCATTTCCAGTAAAGTGACACATTAAGGTGAAACTAATACTTGTAGCTTTTTAATTTCTTGTTCATTCCCCTCTTATAAGCTTGGCCCAGAGGGCTTTTTTTACCTACAGAGATTCACATCTCAGTTGAAGGGTTCACATCTAGCCTGAAGGATTTTATGAGATGTAATTATGGCATTAGATTCACAGGAGCGGATAATGCAACCCAAGCAATTGATATGAAAAAGATCTTTACTGAGACTATTTTGAACTGCTCTCACTTGTGCATGTAATAACATTTTTTACCTCTAAAGCCTAATTGATGTGGTAGTGAAAGTAAATTTTAATCAAAGTTTAATGCCCTGTCCTCTCAATGAAGCTCTTAAAATTGTAATTAGGACACCCAAGAAGTCTTCAGATAAAATAAGGAGAAACTGGAGGTGACAAATAAGGCATCTGAGAGTGAAAAAATGTCCATTAGAAGAAATATTTTAATAGCAAATAAAGAAGGCATAAAAATGTTGATTAAATGTTGATTAGACACAGTATATTAGAAACAAGGCAAGTAATAATGCTTGTTATTAAATCTATCTCTAAAGGGGCTTAGTCCTAGCAACTGTCAGAATTTTAGCTCTTTGGATTGATTTTTTGCTTTCTTTTCCTTAACACATTTATAATTTTTGAATTTTATATTTAAATTTGGGCCTTACAGACAAAACAATATGTTATTTCCTGTCTGTTAAAAAAAAATATCAATTCAAGTCTTGAAAAAAATGTTCTTGGACAACTCTAGTAGGAAATGGGAAACTGAATTTTGTTACAGCAGTTGCCTTTGCCTGGGGGATGTCCCTGTGTGGACCTTGAGGAAATTCAACCAAATCTGCAAAGCTGCAGCTCTGCCATGTCTTGCTGGGCTCAGCAGTTTTAGTGTCAGCTCCTCGTGCATCTCTGTGCTGAGCAGCTGTAGGGCTCACCCAGAGACCACTGAGAATAAATGAATTCAGATGCAAGAAAAAGGCAGCCCACAAACTTTGAGAGCATACAACAGCCATCCTTTATCTGCCTATTCTGGCACAGAGGGAAATCTCTAAGAGGAAAGAAGAGGGCTGTTGCACATTTACATCTTCATTTGCTCATTTGCTTGTTATCAACTAGTGAAAGCTGACTTGCATGCAGTAAGGCAGTCTGTGGTTTTGACTCGAGCCACTGAAGGCAGCCACAAGTCCTATGTAGGCATAGGAAGGTGCTTGAAACATATAACATGAAAGAAGTGGCACCCAGCACGGGCTAAGCAGACGAGAAGAGGCATTTGGGAAGAGAGATGCCACATGAAAAAGGTGGAAGCCTGACTGCTTTGGTGAACTCAAGCCTCTTCTCTTGGACCTGCTGGTGGAGTGAATCCTGCTGTCTGAGATATACTTACTTTGGATGAGAACAGGAACAATGATGGTGTAATTGCTGTTTTTACTGATGACCGAGAGAGTGTATTTTCCAGCTTGTGTTTCTCTTATTTGAGAAAAAGACAAAGAAGTAACATACCTATTAAACAGGAGATAGAGTCATCTTTGTTATCTGGAAGGTAATACGCTGCAGACACAATAATAGTATATATTCCATTAGCTCTTGATAGCATGATAGCATTAGTGCTTGATAGCATGAAAAAATATTCAGAGATAACAGTACTCATTATTTACATTACACCCTTTACCATAAAGTGTTTTAATCTATCTTGCTATACATGCAGCACCATAGGACCTTACAACCACAAGGACCCAAGTGTGTGCCTAATGCTGAGCTCTGGGAAGGACGGACTTAGAACAGCTGGAGTGATTCACAGGGAAGTTCTCTACCTACAATCCCATCCCAGGAGCCCTGCAGTTGGAGGCAATAACCTTCCATTGATGACAAGACTTAAAAAGTTAATGTATAACGTGGAATTATACACAAGCAAAGTCATGCAGAACATATGTTTGTATCCTAAGAGAAATGATCCCTACCATGTTCTTTGATCCAGTACCTCACTCAACTTACTGGTTATCTGAATCCAGTGAAGGTTCACAAGCTTGGATTTCTTTAAAAAACCAATGGCATGAAATGATCTCTGAAATGTTCATTATCACTCTTAATTCAATATCTTCAAACACATTAGCTTCCACTTTTTTAATCGGTTCATAGATGTTCTCTGCTCCCTGAGAATTCAAATGGCACTCGAGATCTTCCAAAATGTTAGAGATCTGCAATGCACGAGAACAAATTGTTGTGTATTCAGAAGCAATTAGCTTTGTTTGCTATTTCATATTCAAATATTTTTAAAGGATGCTCTTCTGGAAAAGTCTTCATAAATTAACAGTGCCTCCTAATCCCCAAATATAAACTGCACTAAAATAACACCTTCAACATACTCTGATTTTTTTCCTACTGTCAAACATTCATAAATATATTGAATTCTACTACACAAGGAAGCTCACTAGGATTCATGTTGCATTAGTTAATTCTGTTCTCTATAAAAGGCCATCACAAAGCAACGTCAGCCAGAAACATTACCATTTCCCATAGTGGCTATTCTTTGCTCTCATTTTTGCTTCCCTTCTTGCAGGACCACAGGAGGACAGAGAAGAACTATAATGAAAACTTTCTGTTTGAGACTTCAGTGCAAAGGCGGGGCCAGAATGTTTTTTACTATGCTACCACTTGCCATCATGGCGTCCAGAGAGACCTCAGCTCCTTGTGGGCTTCACTGCGCAGAGAATGTTTGGCTTGGGTGACTGCACACCTTTCATTTCCTCACCAGTGCATACTGCTAACGGTGAATTGCAAATGGAAAGTTCTGCAGCACTCATAGCTGATGGTAGACTAATGGAGTCTTTAAGTTTAGCTGCAGGAAGAGGTGTCAAGTACGCAGATCCCTGAAGAACAGCCCTAGATGTCTCCCTTATTGTGCTGGGTGACATTTATCCAGTTATGAAAGGATGGGGTTTGCTGCCTCCTTTGCCCCACACAGTGCTTGACCAGGTACCCTGGTATGATTCTGCTGCTTCTCATTCCTTGCTCCTTCTTTTTCCCTTTGTTTGATCTGAAAGGTACCTAGAGATAACAGCCATATTCCGCTTCATTAGACACAGGGACAGCACAGCTTTGGCTGGTGTACTGAAATGACCCCTTAGGAGACTGGTCATTGGGAAGTTGATTGTGACACCGCCATGGATTAAAGGGTCAGGGTGCTGTAAGCTTTTGGGAAAGTATCTGGGAGGTAATGGCCTTGTGTTACACAGGGTTGAATTAGGAAAAATTTCCTCTTCAAAAGAATGGTAAGGTACTGGAAAAGGGAGGTGGGGGAGTCACCATCCCTGGAGGTGTGTAGATGTGGCACTACGGGATGTGGCTTAGTGGGCATGCTGGGGATGGGTTGGGGGTTGGACTAGATATCTTGGAAGTCTTTTCTAATTGTAACAACTCTATGGTTCTATGATTCCATTTCTGGAGTGAACAGGAAACTTCATAAGCAACTTGCTTTCTGTCAGATCACCTTGGAAGATACGGATGTCTCTTCTGTCCTTGAAGCTCCATCTCTTTGTCTGATAAACGCACATGTAATCTCAGACGTGCTTTGATTCATTGCAGAAGTGAAAGCCATGGCTGTCATAACTAGAACTATAAAACAGAAGTAGAAAACAAATGTGATTGTGTTTATCTCTCTGCTCAGGGGTAAGCATTTCAATAAAAATAAAGCACAACAAAACTGCAGACAGATTGTGAGTTTTTGTTTTGTTGTTGTTGCTGGCAGGTAGTAGAAATACTTAACTATGCATGTGGATTTGCAGTATCTGCTTTTGTGTATTAAGACTAATAGACTGATTTGGGGAACCTTTGAACACCACAGACACACCACAATTCAAGAGTACGTCCCATAACATAGCAGAATGTAGTAGGAGAAATCTGGTTCACTGCAGTCAGATAGACCTCTTGTTGCCATAAACTGAGTTAGGATTTCACAGGGACGTTGAGGTACGCACACAGGGAACCGTCCGCCCTGCTCGGCAATAAGAGCTCCGCTCGGTGCCCGCGGACTCGTTCGGGTGCAGGGGCGATATATGGCCACGAGGGGGCGCTCCCGCCGCGCCCGGCCTCGCGCTACCGGGGAAGCAGCACAGCTGCGCTGAGGGCACGGCCGGCACTGGGGCAGCGACTTCAGCCAGCTCTGGCTCCTGCCGGAGAGATTTTTGTTCTTTTCTTCTTTACTTCTGTCTTTCGTTTTTCCCTTTCTTTCCTTTTCCTTTTCCTTTTCCTTTTCCTTTTCCTTTTCCTTTTCC